TTGTATTTTGACAAAAAAGTAGCAGTTGAACTTGATTTTTCTACATGTAAATTTTTATACGTATTTTTTGCTAAAAAATGCAACAAAATTGTAGTGCATAGTATTTTATGCTGCAGATGCACAACCATACACACACACTCAAATTCATACATACATATGTACAAATAGTACGTAATTTTGTATGAATGAAATATGCTTTTTTGTTCATAACGGGGTTGGTTGTTTGGCTGTAAAACTGTTTTTCAAATGAAAAGAACTTTAAACAAATTTTTAGGCTGTTCTGAGAATCTAACAGCGAACAACTGGCCTCCTTTACTACTTTTATACACTTACATGCACACGCATCAGGAATATTTACATAGTTTAGCATTGGTGCACGGACACGGTGATTGCATTTAATTTTGTAAAGTTGTAAATTTCGCAAACCATTTAGCATTTGGTTGAACATTTTTGATTTGATATTAGATTTTCTACGTATTTGGTCAAAATTTAGCGAACATTTTCGAATCTCTGACTTCTTGTAAAGCCTCATAGCTCATTATGTGACTAAAACTATTATATGCTTGGTTTTGTTGCTTGCTTACTAACAAATGAGTTATTTATTGAATGCTTCGCTTTTTAATTGTTTTTCACGCTCTTTGCGCTTCTTTTGCATGTTTATACATAAGTACATATGTAAAATTTTACTAATGTTTAATGTTTGCAGGGCATCATGTTTGGTTATGCCACCGATGAGACCGAAGAATGCATGCCATTGACTGTTGTTTTGGCACACAAATTAAATCAGAAATTGGCAGAACTTCGTCGCTCAGGCGAATTCAGTTGGGCGCGTCCCGATTCAAAGACACAGGTGCGTATATTCTCTAGACTCTATAATTGGTATCACATTGTAATTATACTCTAATTTTTACCTTTTTGTTCGGTAGGTCACTTGCGAGTACCTTTTCAATCAGGGCGCAGCTGTGCCAAAGCGTGTACACACCATTGTCGTTTCCATGCAGCATTCGGAAAAGATTAGCTTGGAGGACTTGCGCAAAGAGGTCATGAATAAGGTCATCAAAGATGTCATTCCAGCCAAATATTTCGATGCCAACACAATTGTGCATATAAATCCATGTGGATTGTTCGTCATTGGCGGTCCAATGGGTGATGCAGGTTTGACCGGGCGTAAAATTATCGTCGATACTTATGGCGGTTGGGGCGCCCATGGGGGTGGTGCATTTTCGGGCAAAGACTTTACTAAAGTAGACAGATCGGCTGCATATGCTGCGCGTTGGGTTGCCAAATCGCTGGTGAAGGCGGGACTTTGTAGGCGTTGCTTGGTGCAGGTCTCATATGCCATCGGCCTGGCCGAACCACTTTCCATTACAGTCTTCGATTATGGCACCTCACATAAGACACAAAAAGAATTGCTCGACATTGTTAAGCGTAATTTCGATTTGCGGCCGGGCATGATTGTCAAGTGAGTTTAGATTATAGTTAAATGTGCACACGCATAAGCATAATAATATATTTTTGAATTAATATTTTCGCTTTTTCTCCAAACAGAGACTTGAAACTCAGACAGCCAATCTACCAGCGCACAAGTACTTATGGACACTTTGGACGTGACGGTTTCACGTGGGAAGAAGCGAAGCCGCTGCAGATCAATTGACTAGAACCGGGTGCAGATCAGCTAACACAGCCACCGTTTGCTAAAAAGTGTAAAGTTGCGTAATTCTTAGTTGTTAATTTAATTATTTTCTGATGTGCAAATGCGAAAGGGAATAATTGCAAAGTAATTACAATAGAGGATAACGAAAAAGCAACCTAGAAAAAAGGAGAATAAAAATCACGCAAGCAAAGTGATTTTGGTACAGTTTTCGTTCCTGTCATTACCAATAGTTATAATTTAGCCTTAGTTGTTTAAAAATAACAAAAAATATGAAACAAAATATTCCCACGCTCACATTATGTTCTCTTCAAACGTGTCAACTGTTTTATTGTAATTTGTCCATCAAAATTGGTACTTGATTGATGTTAGAAATTTGTTCATTTGAATTCGTGTGATACAAAACGTGGCGCGTCTGTGAGAAGTATTCAATAACATAAAAGTATGTAGTATATGTCATGCCCCTTTGTAATTTGTACTCGTACCCACAAAATAATTGTTCAAAATATTTGAAAAAATAAGAAATAAAAATATGCAAAATTATAAATATTCAAATGCAATAATATAACGCTAGTTATTTTTAAACGGAAGCAAAGGATCTATCAAATACATCGTTATTTATTCAAATTTAATAGTCTTAATAAAGCTTGAACGTTGAAAATTATATTGGGCCGTATACATAAAAACAAAGCAATTGCATTTACTTAAAATTCCATACCTTTCACTTCAATTTATTTGAACAAATCGAGTAAAAGGTCTGAAATTTTAAGAAAAAGCATTTGCCATTGTCTCTGTATACTAAGTGTAATTTCACCAAATTCAAACATTAAAGCAAGAACCTAAAAGAATAGTATAAAATAAGATAACATTATGACAAGTAACCCCCAAAGAGTTATAAACGCTCAATCATTATAATTAGTACATAAAAATCAATGAAACAATAAAATTGCGCACGATAGTGTATGAAAAAACAAACATTGTTATTTTGATTTTTTTTATCGTTATTCTTACTCTAGGTCTAGGATGAGCTGTGTGAAATTTTTTTAGACATATCGTTTAATCACGCATGATATGAGATCAGAGCGGCTTAGTTCCTGTGTGGCTTCTTCAAAAGATTTTAATAGCTCAACACAAGATTCCATGATTTTTAATTCCCCTTGCAAAATTCGTTCCATGTCATTGTCGTTAATGTAAAGATAACTCATATTTTACCTTCAAAATTATCAAAAGAGGCTCTTTTAATACTGATTAATGAATTCACTGGATTGGTAACGTTTTACAGAAGTGGCGTGATTCTGGAAACAACTGGAGTGACTTGGTTATTATATGTGATAATGCGCCTTGTCATTCCAGAATTGAATCTGGCGTGCAAGAGCATTCGAATGGGCAGGCAAATGTGCTTCGTTTGGGACTATATTCGCCCATGCTGAACCCAGTAGAGACAATATGGTCTAAGATTAAGTCACTTGTTAAGTCGAATATGGGTGTCCCCAACGTCCAAGGTCCAGGATTAATTGAGCAAAGGCTACAGTATTTGGAAAGAAAAATTGATAATGCCAAAGTAGCAATATCAGGTGGAGATTGTGCTCGAGCAACACAACATTGCTTGTTGCTGTTGCTGTTGTTGTAGCGGCTACAACAACCCCGCCCAGGACGGTTGGTATCTCAGTCGTTGTCGTCAAGTTCCACTAACGGCAACCCTAGGAAGCGTGCAGCTTCTGTGGGGTTTGTCCACAGGGACAAGGCCGTTAGGGTTGTCGGGTTTTCCGGGCATGCGAAGAGATGTTTCGAGTCATGTGGGGTCTCTCCGCATGCCGGACACTCATTCGGCACATCCTCATTCAACCTACTCAGGTAGGAGTTTAACCTGCTGCAGTAGCCGGAGCGAAGTTGTGCAAGTGTTGTGCGAGTCTCCCGAGGCAGATGAAGCTCCGTCTCGTCTATGTCCGGGGGTGGTATGCCTAGAACGGCATTCACAGGTCTAGAGTCTACATAACTCGAGACTGAGTCCCTGTGAATGCCGTTCAGGGCCTGTCGGTAAGCTGTCGGGTCCAGAGGTTGCTTGATGAACCCCTGGACTTCGTCTGTCAGTTCATATAGATGCCTCCTGACGTGCCTAGGCGAGGGCTCCTCTGCAAGCATCTGCCTGCTTGGGTGGCCTCTTCTGTGGCTCCCGATCAGGAACTGCTTGCAGAGCATTATATTGTGCTCCTTTACGGGGAGCATTTGCGTCTCGCCGTGTAGATGGTGTTCGGGCGACATCAGGAGGCATCCTGTCGCTGTCCTGAGTGCGGTGTTCTGTACAGTCTGTAGCTTCGTCCACTGCGTCCTACTAGTCCCTGGCGACCACACTGGCGCTGCGTAGTTCAAAACCGGCCGGCCTATTGCCTTGTATGTTGCCAGCAACGTTTCTTTGTCTTTGCCCCAAGTACTGCCGGCTAGCGACTTGAGGACCTTGTTGCGGCTCTGTACTTTATTGACAGTAGCGGTTGCGTGCGCAGAGAAGGAGAGCAGGCTGTCGAATGTTACTCCGAGTATTTTGGGGTTATTCACCGTCGCAATTGGTGTGTCATCGACGTGAATCCCCAGCGGTAGCCTGACCTCCTTCGTCCAGGTTGTGAGTAGGGGCGCGGAGGATTTCGTAGGGGAGAGGGCGAGACACTTTGCAGTGAAGAAGAGAGAAAGTTCGGAGAGATACCCGTTTACTTTCGAACACAGGTCATCAATTCCATTCCCAGTCGCCATGATCGAGCAATCGTCGGCATAAGAGACAATCGAGACTCCCTCTGGTGGTTGAGGGAGCTGGGAAATGTAAAAGTTAAACAGTAGCGGGGAAAGGACACCACCCTGTGGAACCCCCTGTTTTATTTTTCTCTGTTTACTCGTTTTGTCTCTAAACATTACCGACGATTGTCGACCACTCAGATAATTAGCCGACCACCGTTTGAGCCTCTGTGGGAGAGAGGAGGCCTCTATATCTTCTAGTAGCGTGGAATGGCAGACGGTGTCAAACGCCTTTGACAAGTCCAACGCTAC